GACTTCTACCCTGGGAACATGACAAAGTCTTTCTTCACAAATGCAAAGAAGACAGGAAACTCATGGTTCCCACAAAGCAGCTTTGACTCTTACTAGATGTGATAATTTTGTTAGCAGGATCCCAGACATCAGAGCATGGATCAGTGAGCCAGACTAATAAGCCACAAGGGCTCCTGTCCACCCATGGAAAGTGGCTCATCTGAGCAGGATCCGGTCTGCTCTTTGTCACCCCGGGCCAAGCTGTGCAGCTTTTCCTTGCTTAGTGTGAGTTTCACAGAAGCAGATACGGGATCTTAGCCTCTGCCTTTGTTCCACCACTGGGAGCTCCAAAATAGGACTCCTGATCATTTGTCTCCAGCCGATCCCAGGAGACGCATCAGCTTGTGCAACTGACTGCTCAGCCCCTCTAATCCCTGCTGTTCCTGCAGAGCGGTGCAGACACCCCTGTGCTGGCCTGCGGCCAGCTGGGACGCCAGCAGCAAGCTCGCTGGCACCAGCAACCTCTGCAGAGCAAACCACTGGAGTATTTACCCAGCTTCTTGGGTGGGTTTCACATCCAACAGAGTTTTGTGCTCTCCCAGCCACGCTTCTCCTACACCCCGAGCTGTCTGGTTCAAGCACACTGAGGTTTATCTGTTCTGTATAGCAATGGTAGTAGCCACCGCAGTTGGACAAAGCCTTCAGCCTTTCCAAAGAGTACATTTCCTTGTAATGCTACCACAGTCCATTTGCTGGTATCCCTAAGTGCTGGATCACTCTTTTAAATAAGGCCTTCAGACCTAGAGTTGTATGATTACATGCCCTCACCATATTAACTTCCAGCTCCTAATCTCTTGTTACTACTATGTCAAATGATGCTACAAAACAGCAAGTCGAAACTATGCTGTGGCTGACCACCTGGTACCAGAAGAAAGCACATTCAGATAAGATGTGCTCTGTTGTAATGAAGGTATTGCTGAGACTTATGGTTAGCATGTGGGGGGCTGAGCCCTTTTATACCAAGGAAAAAAAAAACAGATCCAAGGCAAAGTAGTCAGGGCTGGATGTTACTGTGATATGGGGCCTGCCCAATGGCTCAGCTTTTTGTCTGGCACATGACGATATGTTTTCACAAAAACGGCCAGAATTACTTTCTCAATGGTCACCTGCTCACTGCTTCTGAGAGAGAGAAGCCTACGCATTCATAGGCAACAATTTTACCAAGTGGGTCAAATAAAATCAGGAGGCTGGAAATTTTCCTTAGGAAAAAATTCCCCTCAATCTATGCAGATCAGCCCAAAATATATGTAAAATTTCAATTACAAGTTGCAATAAGTCAATGGGCCCATCATTTTTCTGTAGCAGGGTTTGTCAGTTAGAGGAGCTCAGCTCTTAGTGCTTGCCTTTGCTTCATGCCTTAGCTTCACTACAGGTGGACTTGTGTAAATTGCTCCAGCAACACGTAAAACCATGGAGGGGTTTTTTAAAAGCCTGATCGTTAGACACAGGAAATAGAAAGGTTGGTGGAATGGGACCTAATTAATTATGTCTATCATACATGGAAGAAGTAAAATGAAAATGTGAATTGCTGAAATGAACAATAAAATGAACCCTTGTTCAGGATTAGAAATAGGCAGTTGGGACCTAATTATACAATGCAATTTCTGAGTAAGCGGTTCCTGCAGGAATAAATGCTGTGCAAAAAAAAATCTGCTGCATAGAAAGTAATATATGGGTTAGAACACAAAGGATTTGGACTCCTAACAGAAAGGTATTTAGAGACTAATACTAATGTTGGCTGTCATTCAAAGCCTACCCATTGAAAAGAAAATAATAGATTAATAACATGAAACATTATTGAACAGATTATGCCAGGAGGACTGGGAATAAGGAAATGTCACAGGTCTCCTCTCCTGCAGGAGGGCTCCGATGCCCATTACGAGCTGCCAGAGGGCAGATTCCGCATGAGGCTTGGGATCTGCAGCCCCCTCCTTACCCCGTCTGTGCTGGGAGCTGAGGTGAGAGGGTGCCAGACCGTGTGATGGAGGAGCAGCAGGAACCTCCATGTACAGCAATGGTCCCTGGCTTCAGGAAGCTGAGGCCGAAGGTGCCCAGACCAGCACTCGGCCTGGGTCCAGTACAATGCATAGCAGTTCCTGCCCAGCTGCGGCTCCCTCCTTCTGCCCCTGGAAACCAAAGCCTGGGGATGGGAGAGACCAGCAGAGACGGGCAGTTTGAGGAGCATTGAGCCTGCAGCATACTTTCTGCATAGGGCAAACACGTGGAGGACACCCCAGTTGCCTTTTATGCGTTTAAATCTAGTCTTGTTGTATTTCCATGCCTGCAGAAGAAGAAAGAAAGAGGAATATCTTTTGTCAGTTCATTCCCAGGCTCTTAAGTCATGGGGTTAGGGCTGCGGTACTAGGCAGCCGACATTTCTGCAGCAGCAAAGATGAAAGTCAGACAAAATAATCCAAAGAAGTGCTTAACTGTGACTATTAAGTCCCAAAGGATTTATCAGCATTTACTTTCCTCTGACTTCTAGGAGAGACTTCGGCTGAAGTCCATTAAGCAAATTAAAAAGCAGAAGGAAAATAAACACAGATTAATGGAGATAGGAATTTTATGAAGGAAAGGAAACAGCCAGACCTTGTGACAAAGCTCCTGGGCTGCTATTCAGGTTTTAAGGCCCCCAGACCTTATAAATGGAGGAGATTATTCTCTTCACGTTGCCCTGCTGGTAGTCGTAACAGAGAGTTAATAGAATTTTTTTTCCCCCACTGAGAAGTCCTGTAGAAACTCAAGTAATAATATAATCCATAATGTTTCAGTTCAGTGCGTGACGTGCAGCTATTTGTTCCTTTGTTTCCAGGCAGGGAATCGAGCTGTAAATCTTGTAGCGACACAGATACTGTACTGGCTCTGTGGCATTT